AATATGATGTTTTATAGTTATGTTCATTAATTCCATTTAATTATAGTATATGAGGAGTACTAAAATAAGATATACTAAGATTTTAAAAGCACTCATGTAAGGCAAAATATTCTACTCTACCATCAAAATAATAAGTTAATTTTAGTCACAAATTGATTTCAACAAGAATGTCCAACAAGAATGTGGCAGTTTTTGAAAGCAATATCCATGTCAAATTTCCTCTTAATAAACTAAATATAACAACTAAATATAACAACTAAATAAATCAACAAAAATAATATAATAAAGGAAACCCTCATTCAATATTGAAGAGTTGGGCCCCAAATATTTGAAAAAATTATTTCTAAAAATTTATTGTTTGAATAAGAAGACTCTTCAAAGATAACTTGTGACTTTTGATATACAAACATATAACTCACATAAGAAAGGCCTAGATTTATTAGAAAGATGTAGCTTAATACTCTTAACAATTTTATTTAATATTTTAGAGAAAGGGTGTTCCAATTTGGCATGTCAATCCATGATAGACATTCTTTCATCAATTGATGCTACTTGACACACTTTAATTGGGTCTTGAATGTGAAGATAGTATATGTCATGTTGATTAGGCCCTTGAAAAAGTGTTACCTTTGTAGTGTGACTTTTATAAAAAATAACCAAGATGAAATTCAATCATGGCATTATTATTTTGGTATAACTTGAAAAAAATTAAATATTTAGAAACATTAGAGACACATAATATTTTTTAAGGTTTATAGTTCATTTTAGGACAAGAGTCTGATGTGACCCACATGTAAAATAGTCAAACATGATACATCACCAATGAATAGTTCAAGTTCATTATATTCTAAGTGAAATGCTATGTTTGCCAAATTAGGGGTGACATGCTTTGAGGCTTCAAAATCTATCCACCAATCATTATTATTATTTTTTTACTCTTATGTTGGTTACAAAGTTGGCAAAATGAGCATGATTTCTAAGTTCAGGGTAGTTCCTAACAAAATATCCAAAACCATTACACAATTTACATACAATGTTGTTGATTGTTGTACGTGTTAAAAGAGTTTCTCTTGTTCTTTCTCCTTTAGAATATCGACCTCCTTTGCCTCATTCACATCATGTTGGGTTGTATGCATTAAACTAACTACTACTATGTGGGCCAAAAATTTAATATTGTTGGACAAATAAATTGTCCGACCTATCGGGCTACTTTAAGGGAATTTAGTTTATAACTCATGAGAATTGTATAGACCTATTGCCACAACAACAAAATCATGGTGGCAGAACCCTCAAATCCACCCTAAAAAAATATCGGTAGGGACATATCCATCCCTAAAAAAAAGTAAGGACAAATTGCCCCTCCAAATCATAAATCAATATAAATCATCCCTTTTTCAACATTTTTTATTAAAAAATGCTGACGTGGCAAACAAAATTTTGACGTTTTTCGTTGAAAAATGGGTGATTTGTATTAATTTATGGTTTGGAGGGGTAATTTGTCCTTGCTTTTTTTTTAGGGATGGATGTATCCCTATCGATATTTTTTGAGGGTGGATTTGAGGGTTTTGCCAATCATGGTAGCCTTCTTGTTTGCCAAACTTGCCTTAAGAACAAAAATGAACTATAGTGAACTATACTGTAATTAGAGTTGTTTTGTGTTTCATGGTTGAGAGATTCCTCTTATTGTAGGGATTCTTCATGAGCTAGAAGTTAGTCTTACAAACATTCAAATGACTATGGAAGTCCGTTAGAGCTTGAATTGTGGACTTAAACTTGGGATATTATATCCCAAACCATTGAAAAGATTAACATGGACATCAGAATTACTCAACAATGCCTTCTTTGCATTTCTAAGGTGATCAATAAAGATTGTTATAGTACATAGTCAGTCACAACTTGCCATTCCCATCATCTAATTTAATAAGATATGATGTAAAATCCCTTTAATTACTTCTATGCATTTAAACATAAAAGTTTCTCTCACTCTCTTTTTTTCTTAGGAATCAAAATACAAGTTTTTATAATAATAATATCATTAAATTTTATTACATTGGAGCCACCAACCATGGAGACGAGAATGTAGAAGTGAATGAAATGTCGATGGTCAGTGGAGAATCTTGTCAACTCTAATCCTAAGTGGCTTTCTTTTTTCTCTTTTGGATAAATACCAAATTTAATCTCAAATCTTTATCCTAAAATTAGAAGTTGTCCCAACCTTTTATTTGGACCAAAAATGATCCCCAATCTTTTCGAAATCACTAAATTCAATCTTACGATTAATAGCTACCATTAAGTCCCTAACATAAAGTTTAAATGGAATTTTGTGGGACCTATGGTAATCTTTAAATAAATAAAACTAGCCAAAACTGTTTTTTTACTAAAATTGTTAGATCCCTAATCCTTCCTCTTTTTTATATTTTTTATTTTTTTGTCATTTTGGCAACTCCAAATTTTTTTTTCTACTTTAATACAAAGCCTCTGATTTAGTTTTATTTATTTTGTTTATTATTACTTATATAACTTAATAATTTACCAATATAATATGTATAAAAGACAATATAATAAATTTTATAACTCAATTTTTTTTATTTTAAATTATGTTGTCATCTAAATACTACTTTATAACAACGTATCTCAAAAAACTAAAAATAAAAATTCATCTTAAAGTATAGGGTTACAATATAACACATGCATAAAACTTTCTATAAAACACTAAGAAAGCAATTTCTCATACATTCTTCAATAAAAGCCTATCCACAAAGTACTCAAATCCAACCAACTCCCATGTGAAACACAGCAAGAGCAATAACAGAAAGGTTAAACCTCCATTTTAATCTTTCAACTATTGTATGAACTCTCAATTTACTCCTTCAACTCAATTAATCCCATATTTGATGCCTATTATTTACCATTTTTACCCCAACTTGGTCCTTTCGTTAAATTTTTGTTGACGTGGCATGTTAACTAACAACATGGGCATGTTTTTTTAATAAATAAAATACAGGACATTTATAAAGTGGCAAAATATGTGACTTGGCAAAAAAAGTTATCTAAATAATCTCTAAACATAATAAAATGACTATATTACCCTTATTTTCAACCTCTAAAATCTAAATCCTTACATTTTCTCTCTCATTTCCCCAACACTAGATCTAGGTTCTGTTTCCTCTTCCTCTCCTTTGCCTCCTACAAAGCCTTATACTTTTCTCAACTATTTGAGATCCCTAAGGCAAAGTAAGGAAGTAGAGCCAAGAACTTTGAACCTAGCAGTCACTGGGTTCCATTGAACCCAACAACCGTTATTGGGTTCCTTCGAACCCAATAGTCGCTAGGTTCAAAAGCTTCACTGGGTTCAAACCCAACAGCTATTGGGTTTGGAAGAACCCAACAAAGCTATTAGGTTCTTCTGAACCCTGCTACTGGGTTCTTTCGAACCCACCAAACTCAGTGCTACTCGAACCCAACAACTTTTCTCCTTTTTTCCTCTTAAATCTAAAATCTTGAAATAGACTTTGTTTCCTAAATCTTGTTTGGTGAGAGAAAAGCATGATGATTGATAAAGAAGATCTGGGTTTGAGTATTAGCTTGAGTTTTCGTCAGATTCACCATTCTTTGCAACTGAATCTTTCATTGTCTTCTCCCCCTAGGTTTTGCACATGTCTCCTTTTTGTACCCATTTTCCCTGTATTTTCCAAAGAAACAAACAGAGCTTTAAAAAGTCTTATTTGTTATCATTTTATTTTTTGGGTATTAATTTAATGCTTTCTTCATTCGCTTGAAGAAGCTTTTAACAATCATTTTTGCTGCCCTTATATAAAAGAGCCATATTCCAATGGATTAGGGTAGATTTTGAGATTTGATTTGCAGTGATCTTGGATCTGTTAGGGGTACAAGCAATGGGCGATGAACAACCAGATTTGGAAGAGAAAGAGGTGAGGAAAATCAAGGGGAAGAAGATGAATTGATTTGGTGAGGAAAATCGAAGGTGGTTTCAGGTGTTAGGGTTTACAGTAGCAGAAAGGAAAGGAAGAGGAAAAACCCAACAAAAAGGAAAAACAAAGGAAGAAAAAAAAATAAAAGGAAAAGGAAATTTTTTAAGGTGTTTTCTTGTCATATCATTATTTTTGCCATGTTGTACATCCTACGTGTTAAATTAATTTTACATGTCATCTTTCTCACATCAAATAACGAAACACATAAGCTGAATTTTAACAAAAGGATAAGTTGGGGTCAAAATGGTAATCAATGAGGATCAAATCAAGGATTTATTGAGTTAAGGGACTAAATCGGAGGTACATACAATAGTTAAGGAACCAAAATAGGAGTCTAACTTAACAGAAATCAATTTCCCACACATTGTTCAATAGAAGCCATGGTTGAGCACATATTATTGTACAGTAGAAAGGGTTTCTTTGAAAAACCCTTATACTCAAAATTAGCTAATTCAATTTACTTCACTCCATAATATTATACTTATAATATAATATAAAATTATATGATATTTAATAAAATTTAACATGACATTAAATATATGGGTGCTTGTAATATTATAGATAGACTCTTAAATAAAAAGAACTACTTATACAATGAGATATTATATTGTAAGTTTAGCCAACGAAAAAAACATTTGGGCCAACGAGATTTTGTTTCATTGATAACTGGGCAATGAAAGTTGAAAGGAAAAGGAGACAAATTACTATAAAAATATACGTGGGTCTCACAAAATTTCAATTAGGATTTTTGTGAGGGACTTAACAGTAGCGACTAAAAAGTTAAAGACCATTTCTGATTTAAAAAAAAAAAAAAATGTTTAGACAATACCTGATACTTAAGTTAAAATTTTTTTTTTCTTTTTTTTGGTCTTATACTTAAGATAAACATTAAGAACTAAATTTAGTAGTATTGGCCTCTTCTTCTTCTTTTTTGCAACAGTGGTTAAATTAGTTACTGAAGGAGGAGAATTTTTAACTGCTGTTCTTCTGGAGTTGTACATATGCTATGACGGATGGTACTTCTGTTCTGTGTATACCCTTTCGGGAAATAATACATTTTTTGGGTTTGTCACTACTACTTGAATTCAACTTTCAGCGTGTGAAGCGGAAAATGACGATTGACGACAACAATAAGGTGTACATCGGAGGGCTGCCGTACGACGCCACCGAAGAAACCCTTCGCCGGGTCTTCAGCATCTATGGTTCCGTTGTCGCCGTTAAGGTATTCCCTTTAGTTTACGCTGACGCCATTGCATATCAGTTTAGTTTGCTCATCGTTATTTTTTCGCTTCTTTCTCGATGTATTTGGGGTTTCTTGTCTTTATTGCCTGAATTTAGGGCTTGATTCCCAATTTATGCCTCATCGTCAATTTTGGGACTGTTCTGTTTAATTAATTTTACAAAGCTGTGTGGGAATCTGTAATAATTTTAGTTGCATGGAAATGATTTTCCTCTAATTCTAGACCTAGCTGAAAATTCAACAGATGGAATTTTAGGGGAGGATAATATTGCAAATGACTCATGAACCGTGGCATTTTTGTATGTTGATTATTCCAATTGGTTTTCAGAACTTCGTTTCTGGGTTAGTATGTTTAGACTTTAGAGGATGAGAAAGCACGGGTCTGCAACAAATTCTCCCTAGATATTGACTGTAAAAGGGCACTAGTTATTCTTAGACACCTGTATGTGTTTCGAGTATTGGATAATTTGGGGGTTGGATTCGTCTATTTTAAAAATAATGAACTGATTCTGTGTTTCAAGGGATATGTAAACCATTTGGTAAACCAGGCATGAGAATGTTACTGCCTGACATTTGGTTGCCCCTTGTTTCCACTGATAGATTAACTAAGTTTTGCCTTCCTCTCTCTCTCTCTCTCTTCCACTATATCAAGCACCATCATTCTAGCAGGTATTACTTTTGTTAGGTTCTTCAGTTATGATGAATAATGTTATCTTACTTGGAGAATTCTAGATAATGGAGCTTGTTTATGCATGTGCCCTGCAGATTATTAATGAGCATCCTCCTGGTGGAAAATGCTATGGCTTTGTTACTTTTACAAATCCTCGCTCAGCAGTTGATGCCATCAGTGACATGAATGGCAGGGTATGTGGTACTTGATCATTTCTAGAGTGTATTTTTAAGTTTTGTTCTGTTTGGCACTTTTAGAAATTTGACATTTGTGAAGCTTGTAAATAGGCTATAAATGGGCAAGTTGTGAAAGTGAATGAAGTGACAACTAGGGGTGGTAGATCACATTTCAGTCGGGACCGCCATCGGCAAACTGGATGGGATAAAGGTCGAGAGAGAGAAAGAAATCGTGATCATGGTAGTTATCATTATGGAGATAGATTCGGAGAGCATGATCTGTCTGGGGACCATGATGCAAGTAGAGAAAGAGTATATGGATATCACAATCGTGATAGAGCAAGGGGGTCTTTCTTTGATAGAGATCAAGACAGAGACATGGAGGATAATGTGCAAGGAGAGGGCAGGGATCATTATAGAGTGGCAGAAAGGGATCGAGAGCTGAGTTTGGATCGAGATGGGATAATTGATGGAAGTGATGGTTATGATAGAAGTAATGGTGAGGACAAAGATCAACTTAAGAGATGGAATGGGTAAGAAGTAAATTTTCTATTTCTTTCAATTTGTTTTCACATTTAAGTGCCAGATGCTGATTGCTGAGTACTTACTAGTCTTCTTTACAATATCTGTCAAATTATGAATTTTATTGGTGTTTTGATTTTGATTCCGTTACTTTCCCATTGGCATTTCAGTAGCTTGTTCTTAACTTCCCATTTTAAACATGTATTAATCCATAATGGTGGATTCTTTTGACATCAGCCGTACTCTGGTGTTAACTTCTTAACTTCCCATTTTAAACATGATTTTGATTCATTTTCTTTTGGTTTGCATTTATTTTTAATTTAGCAGTTCTATACCAAATGACCAAAATAGTCCAGGGCTTTCATCTGATTCAACTGATAACTATGATCAGGTGACTTCAGTTTTGTTTAGTTTCTGATGCATACACTTGTGGAATTTCATTTACCTTGTGGTTTATTAAGATGTTATGTTAACAGGTGAAAAAAGAGCTGGATAGATCAATTCAGGGGCGGGAAGAACTCAGAAAAGAGGTCTCAACTATTTTTTAAAATCTAAATTAACATGGCAAGGCCACTACATTTTCTTCATGATATCTGAAGTCAATATACTTATATAAGGATTGCTGCACATTTTCATGCATTTTTACCGAGAAATATACTCTTAGTCTGTCAGACTGTGGATGTGAACATGTGTGACACTTGCATTACTTATAAAAAATACTGGAGTGAAAATTCACCTTCAAGAGTAATTAGATAAAAGTGTAAAAATCGGTCTTTATACCTTGAATTTTACTGCTCATTGCCTCATCCTTGTATGTATTTATCATTTGCATGCCAAAGTACTTTTAGAAAAATGAAAAAAATTAAAGTTTACTGCCTTTATCAGATTTCACAAATGGAAGGAAGGTTGGAAGAGAGACAAAAACTTGTTTTGGATTTACAGAAGAAAGCTAAGGTATATTTTGTTTTATTGAATTAGATGGGGTTTGGATTATTTAATCCATGTTGTTTTGCTGCTAAAAGTTTGATGTTTATGCAAGACATTGGAAGATGCATTGGTTACAGCAAAGAAGTTCTCTTCAAAACGAAAGATGCAGTTAACCAAGGTAATTTCTTGAGCAACCTGTTTACTATTGATTTACTAAACCAAATTTTGGTTTTTTTAAATGCTTACTTTACATGATATGACCTGCAGTTGCATAAATGCTTCTTGCAAGTGAAGGATTACAGGGAAAGACTTAAAAGCAGCGAATTAGAACTTGAGGTTAGCTTATTTCATTTTATAATTTTGGTGTCTTTGCACCTCTTGAATTATCATTTTTGTGTGCCCTGTGTTAAGGTTTTAAAGAACTGTCTCTTACCCAAATATAAGTCTATATTTGATGACACTTGAAATATGTCAATTATGAATCATATAGTCTAAAACTTGTTTGCCATGTCTACATTATTGACATGGTATGTGGCTTGCAATTACCTTGGCATCAAGCATCCCAGTTGAATTTGTTATTTTTTATCTTTTTCATCAAGCAGGGATTTTTTTTTTTTTTTTTCATTTTTGTATTTAATATCTCCTGAATATTTCTACCAATCTATTCTTTGAACTGGATATTCAATGCTTTTATCAATATTTTTCTATCTGTTTTGAAATATGAACTTGTTTATGCTGTGTTTTGTGATTAGATTTATTTTCTGTTTACATACTTAACTTTAGAGACCTCCATACTTTTGGTAAAAGATAGCTTATGGATTTTTGTTCTTACTTTTGTTGGCCTAGCATATTGCTCCTGGGATTTGAGATCATATGGCATCACAAGAATTTTTTTATTAAGAGAGTATAGGAAAATTTTAAAACTATCATTAAATTTTTATTTAGGATAAGGATCAGGAGAGAAAACTTGATATCAAAGTTGCAAGAATGCCAAGACTAGTTATTGTTGAAAATTGTGATATGGTAGGGAATTATCCAACGCAAATAGAATACTAATTTCATTTTACATGGGAAATCAAACTCTGTTGACTCTGTTGTCTCTGTTGTACAAATTAGTTCAACTTCAGAAGTTTTAGAAAATTTTGATAATTTAAAAATACTTGAAAGTTGATTGCATTTCACAACCGGTTAAGTTTTTGGTGTTTTACTGCCATGGCTTTGGGACAGAATTTAGCAGCTAGGTACTGGCATGTTGACCTGTTTGACATGCCTCATCCAATAACAGATACAACAAAATTTTAAAAATAATCCCAGTCAGTTAGTGATTCCTATTTGATAGAAGCATATTATGTATTCCATTATCTTTAAACGTACTTGTGCAAATTCCTTTTAAAGGTTTTCAAACTTATCAGGTTGCTAACCTTACGTTAACAGTTAAGATGAGTTTTTGAGACAACAGGGCATATGACCATATAGGAGTAACGCTACTGCTCATGTATTATCAGGAGTGATGCTCCTGCTCATGTATTATCAGGAACTTGCTCTGCAGAAATATCTGAACTCAATGACCATCCATATTAAGATTTTGAACAATACAAAGGTCTTCTCTAATTATTTTGTAAGGACAAATGGCATATGCAATTCTGACCCCAACCCATTTCCTTGCAGTCACTGGTTGAGTCGACCATGCTAGAGAGTGGTGATGATGTTGACATAAAGAATAGTACGCTGGCAAATGGTTTTGCATGATATTATCCAGAAGTTTTTTTTTTAACTGCAAAGATGCCATGTCCTCTAAGGGTGCCATGCAAGGCTGTAGATAGCTTCAAAATATCTAAGTGTAGCATTAACTCCTTAAGCAAGTAGTATATTCCATGAATTTCAAACTTATGTGACTGTTATATGCTTTATGTTCTTAATTGATGTGCATCAGGTGTTGGCTGTAGATTCTAGTTAAAAATTG